TTCTTCTCCAATTTCTGGTCTCTATTTGCTTGAGACTGCAACAGAGATTTAACCAACCCCGCCAGTTCCTCCAGCCTGTCCACAGGCTTTGCTGCTGCCATAGCCTCCAGATCAGATGAAGCTGAAGCCCCTTCAGGCTCTTCCTCTTGGTTTGCCTTTTTTCCACCTCTAGTCATCATCTCACTGTAGCATGGAGATCCCACTTCTGACACCAACTGTTAGCAGGCGACCTCTCGGCTGCATTTTCAGTGAGGCAATGAACTTGTCAGGCAGAGTAAAGTTGAGGCATCAACAGGTTTATTTGGCTCCACAGCATCCAGTCTCCATCAAACACACAATCTCTAGCTTAAATAGACACAGCTGATGGCCTCAACCATTTACAAAAAAAAATTAACTCCTCACTTCCATCAAAAAAATACACATTTAAATCAAATATCTACAAACATACACTTAAGGTTATTTTTTTATAAACATTTTCTGATTTAACTTGCACCCAAACACTATAGAAATCCCACAAACTATGTGCACAACTCCCCCTGTATTTTCCATGGCCTCTCCCAGAACCTATAAATGGTGTCTGGACCCCCGGGGATGCATTTGTCCAAACACCCTGGAGAGGACACAGAAAAGACAGGTAAGTCACTTTCTCAGCACCACAACACTTATTTTGCACTTACTTCTAACAGACTTTACACTAACATTTGCTGAAGTTTCTAAACAGTAACCCTTGCTTGCTCTAAACATCAATCCTCTTTTCCACAGACAACCACCCCAATTGCTAATGGAGAGCAGCTGTGGAGAGCCTTGAACAAAAGGCTACATGCTAACTATTAAAATACCCAATAAATATTCAATAAATATTTTAAAAACCTTGTGTGCAAACTGTTCTTTATGTGCAAATCTATGCTTAAAGTGCAGTGCCTAATAAAGTGTCCTAGTGCTAAGCCAGCTGATTGTTAATAAAGTGCAAAGGGCCCTTAAAAGTGCTACAAGCTATTTACATAAAAAGCTATATACATAAAAATAGTCCCAGTAATGAAGACCTCTTCATTACAGACCAATCATCTCTTCTGTGTTGTAAACCTGAGTTTATGGTGTGTATTTTTGTTTTGTTTGTTTGTTTATTATTCACAAGCCATATTATGTTCTTTCTTGAGCTCACAAAGACACAAATGAACATATGATCAAAAAGGTTTAACTGTAACCCAATGTATATTGGATTGAAATACATGTATTCAATTGAGGATTGTCATAAAGACTGATCATAATGTATCGATTAGTTTATGTAAATCATACAAAACTATATGTACAATAAAAAAAATACACCATTATGTTTGGGAGAGTATTTAATTCATAGTAATCCTTCTATTCATTCACCACAAACTAAGCTAAATACCAGACTGCCTCAGACAATACAACAATGACTCTTCCCGACTTTGTGATCTGAGACTCACACTGCAGAAGGACCTCATTTGTGTGTGCTAATGAGCATGACTTCAGTACTACCTATTGATAAATATGCCAACTAAAAGAGAATAATACAGTCCTCATGTCATCATTAGGGACAAATAACCTTGACATTATATTATTAACTGAATACAAATTAGCTTACTATTAATGACTCACAATGAAACAGTGCTGTCATAGTTACCATATTTAATCTGTAAAAAGTTTAAAATGCAATTTTAATTTCAATAATGACATTTTCTGGAGAGCTGTTCTCATCGAAATTTCTCTTTGTTAACATTCGTGGACACAAAAACACAAAATAAATCTGTCTAAGTCTAAATGACAGCAGTACGATTTCTACTTGCTTTTATTTTCTGTTTTATTGTTTAACTAATGTGAAGCACTTTGAATAGTCTTTGCACAGAACTCTGCTAACAAGTAAACTTTCCTTGGTTAAAAGTTGCCTAAAGTATCTAATCAAGGTTTGATATCAAATTGGTTACAGTTTATGACATTTTAGAATGTTTCAGACTTGGAGTTTTATATGTTCCTTTTAAAGGGTTTCCTCACTGTTGCCTCATTAGGAACACAATACAGTACAAGATATTTTGATTCAAAGTTGTTAAAAAAGAAAAACAGTTTTTATAATCCAAAAAAGTTTATACATATATATAACATAATCTACAGTTTTGGTAATATTGTAAAAAAAAAAAATAAAATCTTGACTTGAGGTATTTTAAAATCCAAGGAACTCAGTTAGCTGTGTATGGTTGTATGGCCAAATGTGTGTTATCTTAGGAACCCTAATTTTATCTTATCTTTAAATAATTTTCAACAATAAGTTGCACAAGTTCAGAACATACAAAGTGGCACATGCAAAAATATCATACCTGAAGATTTTACAATTTTTACTTTTAATGTTGAACAATATTTTAGGTAAGTGGTCTATTATTTTACTCTTTTGTTTTTAAAATTACATTAAATGTAGTTTAGCTGATGTTACCTGATTAGTATATATCCAGTTTGACATTTATGTGTAATAAGAAATATTGACTGAAGTCAAAAGGAAAGTTGGGGACAATAAGTGATGTCAAATGGTAAAGGAAGTCACATAAGTTCCGACTGTAAAAAGTGAGAAGCAAACAAGCAAGTCCCCTCTACTAATATGTTACTGGGAAACGCTTGTCACATCATTGAGTAGTTAAAAAGGCTACCTAAGGAAAACAAAACTTAGTCCAACTGTACTTTAGCTGTGTCTGCAAAAAGGAGAATACTATAAACACTTTGATCTTCTTTATCTTAAAAAACACCTACAAAAGCATACACTTAAAGCTACAGTGTGTAATTTTCAGCGACATCTAACGTCCAGACTGCAGACCGCAGCAACATGAACATCTCCCCCCCACCGCTTCTCCCCCCCAACAGTACGGCGAGCGTTACGGGACAAAATGTCTTCCACGACGTCCACATCACCTACCTTCTCTAGTGATGAGGTTTGTTTACATAGATAATTTTACAGATAGTATTTCATTAGTCTGTGTAGGGTATAGATTTCATGTAGACTTAAGATAATAAATATACCCGTTATTTTTTCTACATCGTTGTGACGTTTTGGTGAGCTGCTTTGCATGGTGATATAAACAGACGAAGTAGTCATTAGTTTAACAGCGAGATTGTGTTCGCTGGAAGAATATATATTCCCCGTTTACAGAGTCCAAGTCATTTTGGTGGCACGGGGGTTACAAGGCGAGGAAGAGGGCGAGGGCAGGGAGGCCGTGCAGCTAGGGCCAGGCGAGGGAGGGGTGCCAGCGGGGTGAGAGCAGAGGAGGAAAGGCTTGAAGATCTCCAAAGGAGCCGGAGAGAAGTAACCGAGGTATATATCCAGAAAATTATTTTACAGAAAATTACTGAATCATTACCTATGAAACGTCAGGGACGTTGCTGAATAAGTATACTGGAGAGTAGCAGCATCATCACGCAGCATGTTATTGTTTTAGACAGGTCTGAGCATCCTGTACTCCAAAAACTGCAGTGATATTAGACAATTGTGTGTGTAGGATTAATTACCTGTCCAATAGAAAACTGGCAACTTGAGCGTCACTTTGAAAACCTTTTTCCTCCATCAGTGACTTCAATCGTGTAAATGCCGTGCCAATGTTGATCCGTGTTTTTTGTCGTTTCTTGTCACGCTTGCGTTTATTCTCGTCGTGTTTCCGCTTCTTAGATGATGGGGGTTCGGTGTCCGCCGCTTTTCGTTGTGATACAGAGTAGGCATGATCCTCCATTCGTCTGATGTTTGGCCACACAGTGCCAAACAGTTTGCAAAGTCACTCACGCCTGCCGCCTTGTTCACCTTTCTTTTTACTGATGCGCAGTATACCTGCTTCTTCTTCTTCTTTGGTTTCAGGCAGACTAAACGCTTCTCAGGCATAATACTGCCATCTACTGTTCAGTACCGTCTCAGTTAATCTCTCTCAACTTGCCGTAGTTATTTTCGAGCGTCATGGGAGATCTCGCAATCGCTAGTTTGTTGCCTCTGCGCTTGCCGTAGCGCAAAGATGTCAGCCTCCATGGCTGCGAGACCCGCTCCTATGTAATTATAAATAACGAATTCTAAGGCAACGCAAATATTATGGTTAAAAGGCTGAGCTCATAGGTGATGATAAATAACATAGTTATGTATAATATATTAAATTTCTGACTTTATATGCCTGTAATTATTACACACTGTAGCTTTAATGTGCAATGGGGCATTAATAGTAAACTGCCAGGAAAAAAGTAAAGAAATGTTATGAATTTTAATTTAAGTAGAAAAGCATTTCTTACTTAAATTAGGGCTGCATTTGAGGACTTTCACTTTTTAAAAGCATCTCGGATTTTTACCATTTTTCTTCAGTTCTGACAAGCTGAGAAATAAGGATGATTTAACACAGACTGATCACTTCTCGTATTAATATGATTCAATTGTTGGCATCAGTTTCCATCTTTATTATAGCACAAGCATTATTGAATAAAAAAAAGTCCAGCTAACCAGATAAAATTATGTTTTTGTGTTTAATTTTTATCTGCGCCTATGTCCTCTTCACTCCAGAAGGGCACATAGTTAATATGCAATAGAATTATTGAGATGCAGTCTGTGTTAAATGTCACTGATGTTTATAATGCACATTTACTCAGTTAGGAATCCTTTGCCATGTCATTTGGTATCTTTTTCATGCTGCCACCATTTGACTTTTCATTGGGACTTTTTTTTTCCTCTTCGTACTTCTGTTAGATCAGTTTTTGTTCCTTCAGAAGAAACATGGTGCTCTCTGTTCTGTTCTCATTATTGCGATTGTTCTGCTACTGTACAATGAATCCGCCCCTTTATACGAGCAAGTTCACATGTTCATTTTCATTTCAAGCTGGATTGAGTTAGGGAGCTGATAACCAGTTTCGTGGTACCGCTAATCCTGATTGTAACTGCTGTGTATTGGTTAAAATGGATATGTTGGAATTAACCCGGTTAGGGTGAGTTTGCTTTGTAGTGCTAGCCTCTGCATCCTACCTGGGGACTTAAAAGCACTTTGGGCAAAGCCAACCCTGCCTGTTGCCAACCACAGTGTAAAATTAACATAAAGAAATATATATTATCAATGAAGTTGAAAAAGTATTTAGAAGTGTTTGTTGTATATCTACTCCAGTTTTGAGCATTATTAGGGATGCAACTACAACACTCCATTTTGTCCAAATAACCATATGCAAAATATGTAGCATTTGCCAACATCTCACTTTTCTCCACATAACTCATGGTTCACTCTGTAATAAAACCAATTCGAGTCACAATAAGTCTCTGGACAAAGTGGTGCTTCCTTTCCAACTAAGTTCAAGCTAGTTTTGTAAATGTCGTTTATAATTAATAATAATAATAATATTGGAGAAATATAGCATTATCATTCATGCTTATTTTATGCATTTGACTGATGCAGAGTAAATATTGAAAAAAAACTCTTATAAAGTTAATGCTCATAATAACATGGATCCTTTTAGCAAACTGACTTCTGTGTTCTTGCTCATGCTTTTTGTCGTAGTTCGTTGCATGACTTATCTTGTTTCCTCTTTCCTTAGTTTAGTTTGTTCCTTCCCATAAAGTACAAATTTTAACTCATTCATAGTCGGTAATAGAAATTGTCTTTTAAAGGGACAATCTTTTTTTCTTCCCCCATTTACTTCCACATATGTTTCTTTAGTTAATAATAATAATAATTAATAATAATAATAATTATTATTATTATAATAACTGAACTTTATTGATTTCACACAGGAGAATTTGCCTCTGCATTTAACCCATCCCCCTGGGGAGCAGTGGGCTGCCATTGTGCGGCACCCAGGGAGAACTGTTAAGGGTCTTGCTCAGGGAGCCAGAATGCAGGCAGTGGGGATCAA